TAGCTTTGCGCCTTTCCTGGAACTCACTTGGTAGCCCAGGCTGGCCTCGAACTCACAGAGATCCGCCTGCCTCTGCCTCCCAAGTGCTGGGATTAAAGCGTGCACCACCACTGCCCAGCCGGCATCGTGTTTCTTAACTCTGGGAAATTTTCTATGATTCTTTTGAAAATATTTTCCAGGCTGGCCTGGAACTCACTATGTAGACTAGACTGGCCAGGAACTCAAGAGATCCATCTGTCTCTTCCTCTTGAGTGCTGGGATTAAAAGCATATGACGTGCTCACTTCGGCAACACATATACTAAAATTGGAACGATACAGAGAAGATTAGCATGGCCCCTGCGCAAGGATGACACGCAAATTCGTGAAGCGTTCCATATTTAAAAAAAAAAAAAAGCATATGACTACACTCCTTCCTAGCTGTTTTTATTTTTGTTTTTTTCCTCTGTGTAGTTTTGGTGCCTGTCCTGGATCTCGCTCTGTAGACCAGGCTGGCCTCGAATTTACAGAGATCCACCTGCCTCTGCCTCCTGAGTGCTGGGATTAAAGGCATGCACCACTGCCACCTGGCTACCTGTTTATTAATCCCATCAAGTTCACAATGGAAATTATCATCAGTCTCACTTGGTAGACCAGGCTAGCCCTCAATTTCATGGCAATCCTCCTACCTCAGCCCTTTGACTATGGGATTACAGTTATGTGAGACCACGCTGGACTTAAAAATGAAAAATAGTTTTGAAATAGAATAAGGTAAAAAGGCCAATTATTAGATATGTATTTGTTGGTTAACTAGTGATTTACTATTTGTAGTGCTAATTTGCCGAGCATGACTTTACTCCTAAGGGAAACAGAACGACCTGCTGAAACAACGGTTTGTTGTCGCTCTAAACTACCTAACTGCCAGGTACTCTTACACAAAACCTTGCTTGCTTGCCACCTTGTGGTTTTAGAGTATATACAAACTGGACCTGAGATTGAACCTGTCTGGAGCAGTCCTGGCTTAGGTTTCCCGGGATACCTCCCTCTCTTCCTCTCTCATTAGTATTGGACTGCTTGTTCTAGAAAGATTTCCGCAACCATTTCATTGAGTTGAATGTAGTGGTGCACACCGGTAATTAATCCCAGCACTTAGGAGGCTGAGGCAGGAGGATCCAAGTCCCAGGCTAGTCAGTGCTGCATAGTGAGACTGTCTTTAAAGAAACAGTCTTTTGGGTGATGGGTGAATGCCGAAGCACCCTATCAGAAAGAGAAGTTTTATTGTAGACTTCCTGAGTTCTGGTAGGCCAATTACCATGAAGCTGGAGGCCCTGCCCTCCTGGGGAAATGTTAAAGTTACATTACTAAGGGGTAAGATCAACACGGGAAAGTAGAATGGGGCAGCCGGGGCCAGTCCAGAGCACGAGTGTGAGGGCTCAGTGGATAATACATCGGCTGTGGTCTATTTCAGCTTTCTTTCTTTCTTTCTTTCTTTTTTTTTTTTCTTCTGTTTTTTTCGAGACAGGGTTTCTCTATGAAATAGTTCTGGCTGTCCTGGAACTCGCTTTGCAGACCAGGCTGGCCTCGAACTCACTGAGATCTGCCTGCCTCTGCCTCCTGGGTGCTGGGATTGAAGGCGTGCGCCACCACCGCCCGGCTTGTTTTAGCCTTTCTGACGGCAAAAGCTTGAAGGGAGCTGACGACCCGGAAGTCGGGAACCTGCCTTGGGGCGCCTGGGCTAACTCTAGATTGCAGTGCCGATCCAGGGGAGCAGCTCACCCAGCTTCTAGGAGCAGGCGCCTCGAAGCCACGCCCCTCGCCCTGGGCGTAGGCGGAGCTTCTGGCGGAAGGGCACGGAAGGAGGAGGAGGTGACGCGCAAAGCGGGCGCCCCGCTCGCGCAGCGGCTGGGAGGAAGCTCGGCAGCCCCGCCGGCCGTGAGCAGGCCGGAGTCCGGTCTCTGGCCGGGCTTCCCCCGGTGTGGGCGTGGGCGAGGCAGCGGTCCCGGCCGCTGCGGCGCTCGTGCAGGCCGCGGGTTCGGTGCCGGGAGCAGAGAACGTAGGTAAGCCGGAGCGGGGCAGCCCGGGCGTCCGCAGCGCTGCTGACCAGCCCTTCCCCGCGCCAGCTCAGCGCCGCCCGAGGCCCGCACGCTTCCCCACGGCCGCGCCGCAGGCCGCCGAGTGGGCGCTGGTCTCCGGGGACCGCGGCCCTCCTCCTGCCTCCGCAGCACGAGCCCCGAGGGCCAGCCAGCCAGAAAACCCACTCCTCGGGCCGCTCCTTCCCAAGCCAGGGGAAGCTTTGCCTGAAGATCCGCTGTCAGGCTCCCCAGCTCCTGCCGAATCGGAAGTCGAGGGGGGTTGAGTTGATCCGACAGCTCCGCTTGCTCCTTGCTTTGGTTCCTTCCTACCGTGCTTAAGCATGATACTCTTGGGCTTTAGGTTGGTGTGACGCTACTTTTTTTATTCTGTCTGTGCTGGGCAGTATTAACTCCGATTCCACTGTGGGGCCATTCAAGTGGGATGCAGAAAGGTCATGGGAGTTCGTACTTAAGAGTCTGGAGAAGCTGAATTGAAGCGTTCGCCTGCCATTTGGTATTGTTTTTAATTCACCACCTGAACATAGGCATGTTCTTATACCTATACAAATTAGTTGGAATAATTGAATGAAATTTTGGGGGGCCCTGGTTAAAACGCCGTTAAAGAATATTCAGGACACATGGTACATTCCTAATTATGCTTTTGCCTTTTGTCCAGAATAAGCTTAGTATCGAGAAGGGTGCCAGGAGAGATACCAGAATCTTGTGTGTTTGGAACTTAACTGCAATCTGTGCTTTGAGTGTGCAGCATCCAAGAAACCTAGTCACTCAGATGCCTTGTGCTTATTGATAAAACACTGGTATTGCAAGGATAACTCGTAAGTTTCTGTCACATTTCTTTAGAAAAGGCCCGGGAGATGATTGATTGAAATTTTGTCCCATTTAGGAGGGCTTTGCACCTATATCTCAGATTGCCGATACTCTGCTCCTAAAACATTTCGTGTGTAGCTCAGGCTGGGAGGTAGTTTGCTGTGTGGATTATGCTGGCCTTGAACTTGCAGTGGTCCCCCTGTCTCAGCCTCCCTACTGTTGGGATTACTAGCCCAGTTTGTACATCTTCTCTCTTTTGCTCTCATTTCTGCCACCTCACCATCTTTTATATTAAAAACTGTACATGCATATGTTACCTGCATCTGTGTGCACCACATGCTTGTCTGGTGCCTGTGGGGAGCCGAAGAGGGTGTTGGGTCCCCTGGACCTGGTGTTATGCGTGTTTGCCAGGCACTGTGTGAGTGCTGGGAACAGAACAAGTGTTCTTAACCCCTGAGCTGGCTCCCCTGCCTTCCCACCTTTGTCCTTGTTTTCTTTGCCGTTCTCCCTCTCCTTTAATTTTATTATTGTTATTATTACTGCTGTTGTTATTATTACTTTTGAGTGACCCCAGGGCATTGCACGTGCTAGGTGAGCACTGAGCCCGGTTCCCCAGCCCCTAGTTCCCATGTCTTCTTGATTTACTCCCTCATTTTGTCATGGTACTTCTTATCTTGTGGCTCTTTGAAAAAGGTATATGGGAGGTATATACTTTGATAAATCACCTGTCTGAAAACCTTTTTCTGTTTTCAGTCATTAGTTCTTGGATGGGCCTAAAATTCTCATGTTGAATAATTTTCCCTCAGAACTTGGAAGACATTTCTTCACTGTTTTCTAGTTTCTAGTCAAGTGGGGTGGGGTGCATGTGTGGGGATGCATGATGTGAAAGTTAGGATATCTTCCTGAATCACTTCTACACGCTATGTATCGAGACAGGACCTCTCACTAAATGTGGGACTCACCCATTTGGCTGACTGGCTGACCATCAAGCCCTAGGGATCCATCTTCTGTTACTACCCAGTTCTGGGATTATGTGTTGCTGTTCTCAGCTTTTATGTGGATCCTGGGGACCCAATATCAGGTCTTCATGTTTGTGTAGCAACCATTTTTCCCACTGAGGCATCCATCTCCTAGCCTCCTTCCTTTCTTCCTTCCTTCCTTCTTTCCTTCCTTCCTTCCTTCCTTCCTCCCTCCCTTCCTTTCTTTTTTAACTGAGATAGAATCTGGAGATTTAGCTAATCCTGTGATCTGTCTACCTTAGCTTCCTGAGTACTTGGATTATAGGAGTGTAGTTACACCTGGCTGAGTCAGTTACTTATTTTATTTTATTTATTTTGGTTTTTCGAGACAGGGTTTCTCTGTGTAGCTTTTGGAGCCTATCCTGGAACTCACTCTGTAGACCAGACTGGTCTCAAACTCACAGCGATCCACCTGCCTCTGCCTCCCTAGTGATGGGACTAAAGGCTGGGGCCACCACTCGAGGCTAGTCAGTTACTTCTTACAGAGATGGCAGATCTTATTTTTTCTATTTCTTTTATTCATTCTGTTTTTGTGTTTGTTTTTTGAGACAATGTTTCTCTGTGTAACAGTCTTAGCTGTCTTGGAACTCACTTTGTAGACCAGCCTGGCCTTGAACTCAGAGGTCCACCAGCCTCTAATCTCTCCATCCCCATCCTCAGTGCTGGGATTAAAGGCCTGTACCACCATGCCTGGCTTATTCTGTATTTTTTTAATTTGAAATTATGTATAAGGAAGATGTCCCTTCTACCAGTTTTGCTACTCTTTAAAATTATACAGGACATAGTAATACATGTCTTTAATCCCAGCACTCCAGAGGCAGAAGCAAGCTAATCTCTATGAGTTCGAGGTCAGCATGGTCTACATAGCAAGTTTTAGGCCAGCCAAGGCTGCATAGTGAAATCCTGTCTGTCTGTCTCTGTCACTCAGATTATTTATGTGTATGTTCTGGCACCACAGTGACATTTCAGGTTCATATTCTGCTTTCTCTGCTCAGTTCTGAAATCTTTTTTTTTTTTTTTTTTTTTTGGAGACTACAGTTCAGGCTGGCTTTCCAATGGTCTGTGTTACCAGTGATGACTTGATTTCCTTATGTTCCTGTCTCAGCCTCCAGAGTGCTGGGATTTCAGGCTTGAGTCACCACGCTGCCATTTCTTGCCGTAGATGAGTATATTTAGAAACCAAGGTCTGGTTGTCAGGGTGCTCACTTTCTGCTGGGAGTGCGCTGCTTCACTGACAGGTCTGTGTGTGTATCTGTATCTAGCTGGGTCCATAGTGGTACCTCCAGTTTGTCTCTCATCATGTCACAAGTCATTGTTTCTCTAGTGTGGAAAGTCTAGCTTTAACTATCCACAGCATCTTTTACTTATTTGCTCCACTTTGAATACTGATAATATCAGAATTGACTCCTACTTCAGTGGAAAAACACATTTGCTGGGCTTTGTGCAGTTTCTGTAAGCACTCTCTGTCTTTAGCTCTTGATGTAGTCAGAATGTTGTTTCCTAAGGTCTGTTCATTTTCTCCTTTTGTGGTGTGGTTGTATTAGTCATTTGAGATCCAGGGGCTAAGAGATACAGCTCAGTGGTGGAGCGCCTGCAGGGCATTCATGAGGCCCTCATGTGATGTCCAGTGCTGCAGGGGAGAAGCAAGCGAACCAGGTTCATTGGAGATGAAGCAGCAGGTTTGTCCTGAAGCCAGACCAGCAGGAACACGACGTACAGAGAAAGAGCCCTTCCCTTCTCATTTCCTCCTCTTACCCTTTTAGAACTCCCCTGAATTCACCTTTGTCACCTAAGGATGGATCTCTAAAGCACTGCATGCTGGTTGCTGAAAGAATCCTCACTCCAGTGAAGCTTCATTCATGTCGATAACCTAGTTTATTCAGCCATGCTCTTGCTTGTGGGCATTAAGTGTTTGCTATTGTAATCAGTATTGCAATAGATATCCTTGTCATCGTTACAGCCGAGTCTTCTGTTCAGATTGCTTAAAGTAAGCGTGTCAGATTGGAGGATAAATACTTTTGTGGTTTTTATGAAATCTTACCAAATTCTCTTCCACAATGATTATGTCAGTTTGGAATTCCATCAGCCAAGTTTGAAAATGCCCTTTTCAGTCAGGTGGCAGAGGGAGGAGAATTGTATATTTGAGGTAGGTCTGGGCTACAGAGTGATACGTTCAAAACAAAGTATCTTTTGGCTGGAGAGATGGCCAGCTGTAAAGAAAGTAACTTATCTCCTGAAGGAGAATGTGCTACTTTTTCTTTTTCTTTGCCAGTGTTGATCAAACCTGGACCTTCGACACATGTGGGTTAACACTATCTTTGAGCATAGTCCCAACCATGACCTTTTTCTTAAGAGTAAAGTGGAAGATATTTTTATGTTTTTTTTTTTTTTTGTGTGTGTGTGTGTGGGGGGGGTCGGTGGGGTGGGGAGGTTTCGAGACAGGGTTTCTCCATGTAGTTTTGGTGCCTGTCCTGGATCTCACTCTGTAGACCAGGCTGGCCTGGTGGAACTCACAGAGATCTGTCTGCCTCTGCCTCCCGAGTGCTGGCATTAAAGGCACAGGATTAAACCGCCCATAAGCTTTTTATAGAATTTTCATTGATACAACTTTTGTATTTTCTAGGCTTGTCATCTTTGTGGTGGTTACAGTGTGTGTTTCTTAGTGTGTTAGTTGATGGAAGGAACCAGTGCGGTGGCTAGTATTCATTAGAAGACACTTCACATCACATTCTGAAAAGTTAATGCAGGGACTCAGTGGGGTAGCTGATGGGGTTCCAACTTGGGGGATAGCTGTGTGTTGATTTACGGATTTTTTCACAAACTAACCAACTTTTCTAGAGGATGAACCAGTGATTGCCACAGTCTCAGAGGATGAGTTGAACGAGAGTGTGTGTCTCATTGACTGTATCATTCTCCTTCAAATTGTCCTCACATCTCTTTACCCTTTTTGAAGGGTAAACTTGTATTCTTGGGGGAGAAAGGAGCAGTGGAATTAGGATCTGGAGTCTAATACATTTCTTTGACGTCAGAAGACATTGAAGAATAATTGTTCGGCCTTTTGGGGGAGCATCAGATATGATCTTTCCTCTTTAAATGACCTTCTCTTGTCCCGTTGGAGTGGTCTCCTCACGGCAGTGTATCCTTACAGTGTGGTGGTGAGGAGGGCAAGTTCACAGCATGAACTCACTTAGCTTGCTCTGCACTGTGCTTTCCTGCTGGCGTGACTCTCCTGACTCATCTTCACCAAGAAAGGGAACAGGTTCTCTCTCAGGGTAGAAGGCAGGATTGGGGTGGAACTTCCTCTTCAGACTTCCTGGGACCTTCCTTTTTCAGCTCTGTCCGTGTTCCTAACCTTCATAGGTATTTGTTACCTCTAATTTGGGGCCTTTCTGAGGTCATGGAGCTTACTTCATGGCATCGCCTTTCTTGATCTGCTGAGTGTGTTACTCATTATCTGCTTTTTATTTTTTGAAACAAGGTCTCACTATATGGCCTTAACTGTCCTGAAACTTGCTATGTAGACCAGGCTGGCCTTGAACTCATTAGAGATTTGAACTTGGAGATTCTTCAGACTCTGCTGAGATTTTAAAGGTGTATGCCATCAAGTGTGACTTTCTTTTAGAAATTTAATTAGTCTTGTCTCCTCTTTCATTATCTTTGACCCTGGGGCTTTTGCTCATTCATTCATTCACCCATTCATTCATGCATTTTTATGATTGACAGGGTCTCATTATATAGGACCAAAACTGGTCTTTAATTTGTGATCCTCTTGCTTCTGCTTCCTGGCTGCTGGGATTATCGGAGTGTGTGCTTGCTGCACATAGTGGAGTTTTGCCTTTTTAAGATCTAACTTCCATCGGGCTGGTGGTGGCCTATGCCTTTAATCCCAGCACTCGGGAGGCAGAGGCAGGAGGATCTCTGAGAGTTCAAGGCCAGCCTGAACTATAGAGTGAGGTCCAGGACAGCCAGGACTGTTACAGAGAGGAACCTTGTCTCCAAAACCACATGAACACACACGGAACTCTACCTCTCGCTGTGCATGGTGGCCTGCATACAACTCCAGCATCTGTGAGGCAGAGGCAGTAGGTTGGCTCATTCAAGGCGAGCCTGGGTAACTTAAAGATGTTGCCCCTCCCCCAGCCCAGTGTTTATCAGTTGATTTGGAGAAGGGACCGAGGTAAATATATATTTAGTCCCCCATGTTTTTTCCCTCACAGGAAAATGATGTCTAGAAAGGTAATATGGCTTGGCGGTGGTGGTACACACTTTTAATCCCAGCACTCAGGAGGCAGAGGCAGGCGGATCTCTGCGAGTTGGAGACCAGCCTGATCTACAGAGCAAGTTCTAGAATAGCCAGGGCTACACAGAGAAACCTTTGTCTCAACAACAACAACAATGACAACAGAGTGGGGGTGGGGGGGTGGGGGGTGTAATGTGTGTGTGGTGGTATGTGGGGGAGTGGAGACGGGCCCTTTTCTTAATACATTGTTAGCAAACTTAAATTATGTCTCATGTGTTGGTTTCTGGTTCACAGTCTGCTGTTTCTTCCACTCCTCTTGGTGGCTAGTGTCTGCAGAACTTTTAGTAATAGGAGACATTATTAATTTCTGAAATTGTGTGTTCGGTTTTTCTTTTTCATGTTTGGAGACAGGCTATATACCCCAGGCTGACTTAGAACTCTGTGGCTGAGGATGACCTTTTCCCCTCTTCCTTTATTTACTTGTTTTGAAATTTTAGATACATAAACAAACACACACAGTATACTTTGATTGTATTCATCTCTCATTATCCTTTCTTATCCCCTGTCATAGAACTCCTTCTTCTCTGCAAGTCTGCCTCCTACTTCATATCTCTCCTCCCCCCTCCCCTCTCTCTTTCTCTTTTTTCTCTCCCTCCCTCCCTCCCTCCCTCCCTCCCTCCCTCCCTCCAGGGTTTTTCTTTTTAGTCCTGGCTGTCCTGGAACTGGCTCTGCAGACCAGGCTGGCCTCGAACTCACAGAGATCCTCCTGCCTCTGCCTTCCTAGTGCTGGGATTTCAGGTATGTGCTACCATTCCCCCCCCCCCAGTCCCACTACATTTAATTGCAGTTGCTTACAGGAGCATGGGTGAGGGGTTATTACTTGAGAAAGAATAACTTACCCAGGGGCTGCATTGCTGAAGAATATGATCCCCTCGCCCAGTAACCTTTCATTATCTCTAGCTCCTCAGGGCAGAGTGGGTGAGCCTGTCCTCCATCCCTGGTGGAATGTTGACGGGCCCAGTCTCTACAGGTCCTAAGTAGATAACCATCACTGCTGTGAGCTCCTGGGGGCAGCAGCCTCGTCACATCCAGAAGACAGCGTTCCACGGCACTTACCTTTTGTCCCTTCTTCCTCCGTGTTCCCTGAGCCTTGGAGGGTGTGATACAGATGTCCCTTTGAGAGTCACTTATGCCACTTTGGTCACTTAGGAGTCTGCATTAACTGTTGCCTGCTGGTCTAGAAGCCTCTCTGACCCAGGCTCATGGGTATGGACAGAAGTAGCCAGAAGGCAGTGTGATACCTGTGTGCATTAGTCAGAGCTCTGCTACTTGTCGGGCCTGTCCCCTCCCCAGTCCTGGACCAGGTGCACAGGACCAGGCATGAATTCCCTTCTGTGGGGGCAAACCTCAGCTCTCACTGAAAAGTGAGTGGCTGGTGTCCTCACAACCTTCGTGCCATTCCCACTCCAGTAGGCATGTCTTGCCTGGCGGGCTGTCGCTCACAGGGTTCACAGCTGTGTAAGACTCACGGACCTTCTCTCGCAGACCTTAACCTGATCTTCCTACCTCGTTCCCTGAGTGTTAGCGTTGATGATGTGTGTGTGCCTTTATGGCTGGTTTTATGTGGTGCTGGGGGTTGAATCCAGGGCTTCGTGCATGCTAGGCAAGAATTCTGTCGGCAGCCCCGTCCTGTCTTGTTTATTGAACAGAGGGCCCTGTGCATGCTAGGCTGGCACTGACTAGTCTGGCTTTGTGTCTGATTTTCATTTATTCCTCCTCACCTCTCACCTCTCTGAGCTGTTCCTGAAATTCTGTGTGTGTGTGTGTGTGTGTGTGTGTGTGTGTGTGTGTGTGTGTGTGTGTATGTTTGTCTGTGGTCCTTATATTCACTTGAGAGCCAGTAGAACTGGATGAGAGCAGCGGACATGAAGTCTTCTTCCTTATGGACACTTAGACTCTGACGTGTAAAGCAGAGCCTGGTCTCCTTGGGGGTGAGGGCTATGTGGGCCAAAGATACTTTCCCCTTAAAAAAAATTGCCATCGAAAGTTGTTTTTCTGTGGGCAAGTTATAAATAGATATGAAATCTGTCTGAAGTGGTTTCTGGTCCCTCTCGCTTTACTATCTTTCACTCTGCACTTGAGAACACAGAATCTGAATGACTTGCTGAAAGTCACTTAGCTAAAGAGGAACAGAGTCAACACAAGAAATTCTGTGACAGCCCAGCAATTCTCTTCTGAATTGCGGCCTGTGTGTTGTATTAGGAACTGGTGTGCAGTGGGCTGAAGAGACGGCTCAGCATTTCAGACCACTCGTTGCTTTTGCAGAGGACCCGGGTTCAATTCCTGGCACCCCATGGTAGCTCACAACCATCCATAATTACAGTTCAAGAGGGTCCAACATCCTCTTGTGGCCTCCTCGGGCAGTAGGCACGGAAGTGGTGCACCGCATATATAAGTACTCATGCACATAAAATAAAAGTGATCACAGAAACAAAAACTGGTGTAGACTGAGAAATTTGTTTGTTTTGTTTTTGTTCATTTGTTTTTTCGAGACAAGGTTTCTCTGTTTAGCCCTGGCTGTCCTGGAACTCGCTCTGTAGACCAGGCTGGCCTCGAACTCACAGAGATCAGCCTGCCTCTGCCTCCTGAGTGCTGGGATTAAAGGTGTGTGCCACCACTGCCCAGCAAGTTTTTTTTGTTGTTGTTGTTGCAAGGTGTCACTCACTATACAGCCCTGGCTGACCTAGAACTCACTATGTAGAAGAGGCTGGTCTTGAACTCACAGAGATTGAGGTCCACCTGGCCTCAGCTTCTTCAATGCTGGTATTAAAGGCATGTGTGACCATATCCTGCCAGAAATGATTCTTGAAACATCCCCATCAGAGGCAGGTATAGAGAAAATGGGGCCTCGTTAAATGCTCACATCTTCCTTCTTCCCAGTTCTCCTTGCAGTGGGAACCTCCATCAGGTAGGATTTCTTTTTCTTTTCTTCCTTTTTTTTTTAAAGATTTATTTATTTATTATGTATACAACATTCTGCCTGCATGTATACCTGCATGCCAGGAGGGGGCACCAGATCTGATTATAGATAGCTGTGAGCCACCATGTGGTTGCTGGGAATTGAACTCAGGACCTCCGGAAAAACAACCAATGCTCTTAACCTCTGAGCCATCTCTCCAGCCCAAGGTAGGATTTCTTTATGGCTGATAGAATAAATTGGAGTGCATATGTTCTTTTTCATTTTTTTAAATCTTTTTTAAAGATGTATTTATTGTGTACATAGTATTCTGCCTACTTGTATTCCTACACACCAGAAGAGGGTACCAGATCTTATTACAGATGGTAGTGATCCACCATGTGCTTGCTGGGAATTGAACTCAGGACCTCTGAAAGAGCAGCCAGTGCTCTTAACCTCTGAGCCATCTCTTCAGCACCCCCCCCCTTTTTTTTTTTCTTTTTTTTTTCTTTTTTTTTCTTTTTCTTTCAAGACAGGGTTTCTCTGTGTAGCTTTTGGAGCCTGTCCTGGAACTCACTCTGACCAGGCTGACCTTGAACTCACAGAGATCTGCCTGCCTCTGCCTCCCAAGTGCTGGGATGAAAGGCGTGCTCCACCACTGCCCTGTTCAAAATCTGAACTGCTATGTACCTCTATGACATATTTACATTGAAATTTAACTTTACATTTTTTTTTCTGTATAGGTACATCAGTTCTCATTATGCATCAGAAAAATGAAAAAGCAGAAGAAAATTCTATGGAAAAAGGGAATTCACTTAGCTTTTTCTGAGAAATGGAATACTGGGTTTGGAAGCTTTAAGAAGTTCTATTTTCCTCAAAACTTGTGCTTTCTGAAAGCTAAGGTGGGAAGGCCAGTTGTTTGGGGTGGACAATTGAAGCATTTCCAGTGTGGTAAGAAGGCTCTTCACATCCAGAAATCGTGGATCCGGGATGTCCCGCCTTGTGCAAGGGCGGGGTCTGGAGGGGCCACTCACAGTGGTAGTACTTTGTATGCCAAAGTGAAAAGAAAGGACCCCAAGCACTTGGCTTCTTCCTCCAGCCGTCTCCTGAGACACCCAGCAGATAAGGTACTGTCGTCAGCAAAGACCTCGGACCATGAGTACTGCAGAGAGGAAAGTCTCCTGAAGGCAGTTACTGGCCTCTCAGCAAGTACTGTCTTGGGTAAGGCCAGTGGACACAAACCTCGGACAGGCGCACAAGCGTCCGACTTTCCCATGAAGTTCAATGGGGAGAGCCAGAGTCCAGGGGAGAGTGGCGAGATTGTGGTCTTGAACAAACATAGAAAACGCATTTGCTACGGCTGCTACCAAGGGCTAGAGCACCACAGGAATGGGAAACCATTGATTCCAAAAAAGTTCCAACTTAATCAACATCGAAGAGTCAAAGTGTCTCTTATGATGTATGAGAAATTATCCATGATTAGATTTCGGTATAGGGTTTTGAGATCCCAGCACTTCAGAACGAAAAACAGAGTTTGCAAGCTAAGAAAAGCCCAGCGAAGCTGGGTGCAGAAGGTCACTGGGGACCATCAAGAGAACCTTAGGGGTAACACTGAGGGTGGCAGCAGTTGCAGCCCAGTCCCTTCCCCAGAAGCTAAAGACCCTTGTCAGTGCCAGCCATACTTTGCAGACATGGACGCCAGTGTTGCGGTGAAGGGGAAGAACTCCCATGTGCCTGATGGCCACACTAAAGAAAGCCCTTTCTTGGACAAGGAGCACAGTTTAGATGAAGCATTCCCTGACCAACAGAATGGCAGTGCCACATACGCCTGGGACCAGTCCCCCTCTTCTCCTCAGTGGGGGTGCACAGAGCAAGTTCCTGAAACCCCTCCAACCGAGCTTCCTTCTAGCACCCAGTTCCCTCCGGAAACGGGCAGAGTGAATCTGACTCTGGGTCGGGAAGGTGGGACAAGCGCTGGCGGTGACAACAGAGGCGTGCTGTCCGTGTCTGGAGCAGACGCGTCTGTGAGCCGTGTCGATGGGCCTGTGTCTGAAGAGCCTGCTCAGAGTGAGAACTGCCAGATGGAGGAGGATGGATCTCTCAAGCAGAACATTCTTAGTTCTGAGCTGCTGGACCACCCCTACTGTAAAAGCCCTCTGGACGCTCCCGCGGTGTGCAGTGAACTCAGAGTAGAGAGCCAAGTGGCGGGTGGCAAGAGCAGCCAGAAGGCTTCTCCAGTGGATGACGAGCAGCTCTCCACCTGCCTTTCGGGTATGCACTGTTCCTTGTTGCTCTCCAGCCTCTGGCCACGCTTGGTGTCCATTTTTCTTTCCAGAAGAGTCTTGGTTTACCTCCCACACATGGCTTTCCCTTTAAGCCATTCGATGTTCGTGATGCCTTTTACGATGCTCCATTATGGAGATGTTGCTTAGCTCCCTTCTTGGTTTGTTGATGGACAGTTGTATCGATTTTGCTATAAGGATTCAATGAACTCTCTCTTGTCCAATTGTTTAAGTTAAATTTTCATTCTAATTGCCAGTAAAGAATATTGATACTTAAACATTTTAATTGGGTGGCCAAATTACCTTTTAAACTTAAGTTTTACCAGTCAGTCTTACAGATTACAGATGAGAATGTTGTAAGATTGGGTGTCCAGGTAGCCCAGTCTGGCCTCAAACTTGCCATGTAATCGAGGATGACTGTGAACTTGTGATCCTCTCAAGTGCTGGGATTATAGGTATATTACCACCATACACAATCGGGGGGGGGGGGGCCGCTGTGGATTGAACTCAGGGCCTCATGCATGCTAGGCAGACATTCTATCAACTGAGCTCTCTCCCCAGCCATGATGACTTCTGTGTGTGTGTTTGACTGCATTTTATTGGTACATAGTTTTTCCTTTCCTAGTTTTCCTTTGCATTGCTTCTCTTTTATTAATATATGAGAAGCTCCTGTATACCACCCAGTGTTATGGTTTCTATGAACATAGCAACAAGCAGAATACACTGATCTCTGCTTCCATGGAACACCATATCAGTCTAATTGTGAAGATGCTAAATTAATTGTAATTGCCAAGGATTGTCACTCCCAAAATATAACATTCTTTAATACCATAATGTTGTTTATTGTTGCTTTAACAGAAATTTTAGTTCTTCTTCTTGTTTTTTTTTTTTTTTTTTTTTTTTTTTAATAGAGTATTGTTTGTTATTTCTTGGACAATACAGTGTCTTTTTCTTTTTTTTCTTTTTTTTTTTTTTTTTAAGTTGGGATCTTACTATATCTCTTGCTGTCCTGGAATTTGCTATGTAGATCAGGCTAGCCTTGAACTCACAGAGATCCTCCTGCCTCTGCCTCTCAAGTGCTGGGATTAAAGATGTGTGCCACCACGTCTGGTTTCTACAATGTACTTGATCATATACAACCTAACTTTCTCCCTAGGACCCCCAGTAGCCCCCCTCTGCCCTCTTTGCGCCGCCCCCCCCCCCCACTGAGTCCTGACTGGAGAGTGCTGCCTGTCGGGATGTTGACTGATTCTGTTGGCCTGGCCTTGTGCTGGTAACCATAGCTGCAGTGAGCTTGCAGGTGCAGTGGTCATAACTGGTCCAGAAGACAGCATTTCTCAGCATTTCTTCCCATCCTTTGGCCTTACATTCTTTCCGCCCCCTCTTCCTCAGCGTTCCCTGAGCAGTAGAGGAATTGTGATAGATGTCCCAGTTATGGCTGGCTGAGCACGTAAGAGACATTTATTCTCAGCATCATTTTCCCCCCAAGACAGGGTTTCTCTGTGTAGCCTTGGCTGTCCTGGAACTCACTTTGTAGCCCAGGCTGGCCTCAAACTCACAGAGATCCACCTGCCTCTGCCTCCCAAGTGCTGGTGTGAGCCACCACCGCCAAGCCTATTCTCAGCATTTTGATCAGTTACGAGTCTCTACGTTAAACACAGTTCACGGCAAAAAGAATCTTCTTCTCTGAGATTAAGTTCTAATCCGTGGTTCTAAACATAAATATTTAGAAGGCACTTTGACAGCTTCTTCATTTAGAAAACAAACAGTAGGAGGCTCCCCACTAAGCCTTAACCTCCCAGCCCACGGGCTTTTCCTTTGCTATGGAGCGGGCTCAGACCCAGCCAGAAAGGCGGTGGTTACATCGTAGCCTTCCTTGGTGCCACTGTTTCGCCAGTGGACACATCGGGCCGCCTGTCAGTAATGTAGCAGTCAGGGCCCAGGGCCAAGTGCTGGCAAGACCCTGATATTTTTTCTTTCCCTGTAGCCTGCACAGCACTCTGAGAGCAGCCAGCAGGAGGAGGTTGTCAGCACAGTTCCAGCTTGATTTCTCTATGAGAAGACTGCTTTTTTTAATTTAAGGAACATCAGTCAAGATTGTAGAACCTAAAATTTAATTTTTGTTGTTGTTTGGGATATCCCTCCATTTTTCTTTGGGGTAAAATTTCTTTATGGCTTCATTTTGTAATTTAAAATATTTGTTATAAGTTAGCATACAAACTAATGGGTTTCATTATTACATTTTAAAAATATTTATATATTTTAATTAAATTAATTAATTTCCTGGAGCTGAGGACCGAACCCAGGGCCTTGCGCTTCCTAGGCAAGCGCTCTGCCACTGTGCTAAATCCCCAACCCTATTTTTAATTTATTTTTAATCATGGATATGCGTGTGTCTGTGTAAGTATACGCCATGCAAGTGTAGGTGCCAGTAGAGGCCAGACAGGCATCAGATTCTCTGGGGCTGGATTCACGGGCGATTGTGAGCTACCCAATAAGGGTGCTGAGAACTGAACTGTGGTCCTGTGAAGAAGAATAGACTCTCTTAACCTCTGAGCTTAGCCTTCCAACCTTATTACATTTTAAAACAATTCAAATTTTTATTTGTATTTGTATTTATTTATTTTTTTTTTTTGGAGCTGAGGATACGAACCCAGGGCCTTGTGCTTGCTAGGCAAGTGCTCTACCACTGAGCTAAATTCCCAACCCCCAATTCTTTATTTTAATTTTATTATTGTATATCCATACATGGTGTTTCTATGTGGGCAGGGCATATCCAGGTGAAGGTCAGAGGACAGTTTTGTGGAGTTAATATTCTCTTTCTACCTGTATATAATTCTCCACTTAAATGCAGTCTTTCCAAATATTAAGGTTTCTTGACTTCTGTTGGGGCCGTTCTTTCATGTAGACATAAGACCCCTGTGTAGAAACAAGATGGCTATTAAGATGGACAGGCTGATGCCGGGCGGTGGTGGCGCACGCCTTTAATCCCAGTACTCGGGAGGTAGAGCCAGGCGGATCTCTGTGAGTTCGAGGCCAGCCTGGTCTCCAAAGCGAGTTCCAGGAAAGGCGCAAAGCTACACAGAGAAACCCTGTCTCGAAAAACAAAAAAAAAAAAAAAAAAAAAATGGACAGGCTGGGAGTATAGCAAACATCAGTACTCCCAGGATTGGAGAACTAGCTCTGTGGTTAACAGACCTGGCTTATGCTGACACCCAGGATATATCCTAGCCCCCTCCCCCCCCATGACAGCTCACATCTGTAACTCCAGTTCCAGGGGATCTGATACCCTCTTCTGGCCTCCTTGGGTGTCAGGCATGCCTGTGGTGCACAGACATACATACAGACAGACTACCCATATGCATAAAATAATAAAATAAAAATTTAAAAATGTTATGTGTTTTATTCTTAGAACCTCCAGTAGAGTGGGTGGAGAATCAGAGGTAATACTTTTTATAAATGTAGGGCTGGGCTGGGGAGATGGCCCCGTGGTGAAGGGTAAAGGCGTTGCTGCCAGGCCTGATGGCCTGAGAGCCACCTCCCACATGCCGTCCTTTGTCCTCTGCCTATGCTGCTGGCAGGTGTCCCTCACTCTTGTGTAGAGTGAATGAATGTAATGAAGAGAGGAAGGCAGGGCTGGGCTGCAGGGCTGTGGTTTGTCCAGATGTTTGCGGCCCTGGGTTGGGTTCCCAGCATTGTAGAAAGTTGGGAGCCACTCTGGTGGGAGATTCACAGGGTTCTCACCTGTGTTTTCCTGTGCAAGAGAGTCCTGTCCATTCTGAATTGACAGCCTAGCAGAAACCGCTGTTTGGAGCCACAGGAGGAGCTGGTTACGATTTCCCCTTTTTAATTTAATTGTCAGCCTGGTAGGCTGTTGCCCTCCTTTTCAGCATCGTCCCCCAACCATGTTTCTTCCTCTGTGACCCCCTACACCTTCCTCAGCTCTTGTTACCTGGAGAAGTAATGTTGGGGTTCTATTTCCTGGGGCTTGCTCAGTGGCCATCATTGAAACCATTGAATGAATATATACATAAATTGACTGGAAGATGGCCTTATAATCTGGCTGAAAGGTCCCTTTTGAAATTGTTTCCTTGGCTGTAGATGTAGCTCTATTGGGAGAACTCTTATACCACAGCTAAATAAATAATAAAAAATTGTTTTTAAAAATTCCCTGTTTTAAAACAGGTCTCTTGAGCTGTCCAGCACTTGGGAGGCAGAGGCAGGTGGATTTCTGTGAGTTCCAGGCTAACCTGGGCTACAGAGTGAGTTCCAGGAAAGGCCCCAAAGCTACACAGAAATTCTGTCTTGAAAAACCAAACCAAACAAAACAAAACAAAAAGTCCCAGGTCTCTCTAGAGCTAGGCCTGGTCTGTAATCCCAGGTGCCGTGGAGGCTGAGGTGGGAGGTCTTAGGCCAGCCTAGGCACCTGAGGGAAAGGCCTTGCTCACTGTTAACCTTGTCAGGCTTCCCTCATAGTAGTTAGTGGGTTTGCTCTTTGTTTGGAAACAAGGTCTTACCATGTGGTCTAAAATTTGCTGTGTGGATGAAGTTGCCCTCAGACTTCCCATCTTTCTGCCTGGGCCTTCTTAGTGCTGGGATTACAGGCATGTGCCACTGAGACCAATTCATTGTTGTATTAACAATGATCAATGACAATCATTTTTTTTTTTTTTAAAGAAATGACTCCTTTAATTACTGGAGGGAAAAAGGACATATTTAACCAAGTGATTAGCTCTCATCCTCCCTTCCTCTTCCTGTTTAAGAGATATAGCATCTTGCTATGTTACCGTGGTGTCTTAGTCGCTGTTCTGTGGACCAAGGTAACTTATAAAAGTATTTAATAGGGGCTTGCTTACAGTTTTAGAGGTTTAGTCCATTATGATGAGAAGCATGGTAGCACACAGGTAGACATGGTGCTGGAGAAGTAACCGGGAGTTCTACATCCTGATCTGCAGGCAGCAAGGCATGGCTTGGCATGGGCTTTTGAAACCTCAAACCCCTCCTCCAGTGACATACTTCTTCCAGCCTCCTAATCCTTTCAAATACATGAGCTGGTAGGGGCCATTCTTGTGCAAACCACACCTGGCTATCCCAGAATTTTCTTTCTTTCTTTCTCCCCCCCCCCCCCCAAGACAGAGTTGAGACAGGGTTTCTCTGTGTAGCTTTGCGCCTTTCCTGGAACTCGCTTTGGAGACCAGGCTGGCCTCGAACTCACAGAGATCCGCCTGCTTCTGCCTCCCGAGTGTTGGGATTAAAGGCATGTGCTACCACCGCCCGGCATATCCCAGAATTTTCTAGTGATCAGCCTCTCGAGAGCTGGAACCACAGGAGCATTGCACTATTTACAAGTCCTAGGAGAGGTTTCCACTTCAAGATCACATGGTGGCAGTGTGTCTCTCTTTAGTCTTGACTAGCCCCTCTAACTGTGTCCGTAGTTTAAAAATAGAGTCTGAGCTGGGCATGGTGGCACACACCTGTAACCCTAGCATGCAAGGAGGCCGATGAGATTGAGACCCCGTCTGTTTTATATATGGAACCTGGCTCCAAAAAAGAAAAATAGCCACCCCCCACCTCCACCCCCACCTCCACCCCCACCTCCAAACTGCTTGCCCAGCTTTTCGCTAAGACCAACCGTGAAATAACTCAAAACCCAATGTGAAATAATAGTTGCGAGCATTTCTTTGTGAATCGCAGTGGTGAAGGTCCAAACACGCACCTTTTTAAAGAAAATGACGTAACTGTGTTTTTACAGATGATGGTTGTATGCTATAACAAATGTAAGCATTATGTGTTATGAGAACAACTTTGCTGAAAAAAATTTCCCATGTTTTTCTTTTTCCTTTATGTAAGGATTCCTAGATGAGGTTATGAAAAAGTATGGAAGTTTGGTCCCACTCAGTGAAAAAGATGTCCTTGGGAGATTAAAAGATGTCTTTAATGAAGACTTTTCTAATAGGTATGTCAGTGATGCAACAGTTAAGTCCTTAAAGATAGTTACTGCCAAAAATGACTTTTCCCTTAAGAGAAAAGAAATAATTCTATGTTAAAAAAATGCATTTTAACCTTTTCTTTCAAAATCTGTTTTAGAAAACCATTTATCAATAGAGAAATAACTAACTACCGGGCCAGACATCAGAAGTGCAACTTCCGGATCTTCTACAATAAGCACATGCTAGACATGGATGATCTGGTGACCCTGGATGGTCAGAATTGGTTGAATGACCAGGTTAGTGCATCGTGGGCTTTCAGGGTAGAAACTTGCACAGGATGTTGGCCAACAAAACCTATCTTTTGGGTCGCCTTTCCATTGATCTTTAGAAACAAGGTCTCTAATTCTTACTGAAGTGACTCAGGTTTTATTACCTTCGCTACTGTCAGCCTGTTAACTCATACTGCTGGGGATGTTCTGAACTGTACAAGACTCATCAGCAGGTTTTAATTTTACAGGTTATTAATATGTATGGTGAGCTGATAATGGATGCCGTCCCAGACAAAGTAAGTGGGAGCTCCCTCTTCACCAGTGTGCTTGTGTTATTAATAGTGAGGTGGGTGTTGGTTTTTTGTTTTTGTTTTT